TTATAACCCCACCTGTGACTGAATTCCGAATACCAGTGCTAAAATCTCCAGGAATAGTCTCTTCTTCATGAAAAATACACACATTAGCAGAAATTCAGTTACTGAAACACCCACCATTATCCACCTGAATTCAGATGCTTAGCACTGTAGTAAAGTCTTTCATGCAATTTCACTCATTACATTACTTAAATTAAAAATGACTGAGTTGAGAATCACTAGTGTTATATTTATTACAAACTACAGAATGGTATGCTGCTGTGTCACAAGCAGTGCTGATCAAAAAAGCCCATATAAGAATCTTAATAAAATGTTTCAGTTATTTTTAAATGTAATGCTAATCTACAGGGTGTGATTTAGACTAGTATGGGCTAGGGGCATAGCCTATGGTTCCCTCTTTGTCCAATGTTTGAATAATGCACTAATACAAGCAGCATGCTGGTGGGCATTAATGCAGAAGATACCTACAAACCAGCCCAACAATATACAGTCTCCCCTCAAATCTGAGGCTCATTCCATAGTTATTAACAGCACACTGTGCCATGTTCATGTAGATGCAACACAGCATTTTGTTCACACTGTCCATATAGGAACAAATCCTCAAAAACTACTAAAAAATAAACTTTTGGCAAGTTCACTGTCCCCACCTTTGCATACCTGGATAAGGGTCTTTTATAATTTTTGGGGGGAACTTTGCAGTGCCTTTTTTGTCTTATAGGAACAGCACACGATTGAAATAGTCAGTGTAGGGAACCTGTAAAGATTCATAAAATACCCTTTTGTAGGTATGCAGTCTGGCTAGCCTGGAAAGATGGGGTTGGGTGGTGAGCATGTGATGAGTCATGCCAGGCCACATGCCATCAGCATTTGAAGGCTATCTTGCAAGTCTTTGCCACCCCCCTTTCAAGGCACCTTGTCCTATGTTGATGGGGACAAGGTCTCAATCACCTTCTATTTGGTCAATGACATCATCCTGAATCCTCAACCCATTTGTTTACAAACAAGTCAATGGGTATTTATAATATGGAGGTGGTAATGCTATTCGTGCTAAATAACAGATCCCTGGCCACAATTTGTAAACAAAAATTTAAAAAAAGCTAATGGAATGTTTCCTACTTCTCTGCAACTTCCACATGAAGACTTAAGGCATTCCTAAATAATATTGTTTAAAGGATATGTGTATTTTTAATGTTGCCCTTTAACCTCTTGCCGTCCTCCTGCTGTTTATAAACGGCAGGGCGGTGGCACTCCAGGGGCGGGTTGCCGTTCATAAACTGCACCCGCCTTTTCTAGCTGTGCGTGCTCCCTGGGAGCACGCAGCACCACGATCCGGTGCCCGCTGTGTCCTCCGGACACAGTGAAACACCGATCGTCGGGCGGGACCTCTGTACAAGGTCCTGATCATGTGATCACTGATTGGCCAATCAGTGATCACATGCAAAGTAGTAAGCAAGATGTCACTTGTGACATCATTGCTTACTACGTGTGAAATCTGTGAATGATCACAGAGGTCACCTGGTACAAGGCTATTCACAACAGCCTTCTACCATGTGACAAGGTGTGACCAATCACAGCTCACTCAGTATTTCTCAATGGCTGCAAGAATGCAGACAGAGAGAAAGAGAAATGATTGCTTTTACATCCTATATGGGTGTAAAAGCAATCACTGTAAAAAAAAAAAAAAAAATCTTCATCACCCCCCACAAGTAGTACAGTGTCACCATGGTGACACTGTACTGCTAGGGTAACAGTATGTAAAAAAAAAATCAAAAAAAAACCCATAAATAATAATATTAAAAAAATAAAATAAAAATGTAAAAACAATGTTTAAAAATTATAGTTTTTGGTTATAAACTAATTTGGCTTATTTTCTTTTTAACAAAAAATATAACGGAATACATTTTGGTCAAGATTTATGATGAAAGATTATTTATTTGCAAAATTTTATAAGAAAAACACTTTTTTTCTAAATTTTTGGACATTTTCATTTACAAATGAAAAAAAATAAAAATCCCAGTGGTGAATAAATACCACCAAAATAAAGCTTTATCTGTCTAAAAAAAATGGTAAAAAATTCATATGGGTACAGTATTGCATGATCGCGTAATTGTCATTCAAAGTGTGATAGCGCTGAAAGCTGAAAATTGCCCTGGACAGGAAGGGGGTAAAAGTGTCCAGACTGGAAGTGGTTAAAGTGATAGTAAATGAAAAAAACAAAAAATAACAAACAAACAGGTTTATACTTACCTGCTCTGTTCAATGGAATTGCACAGCGTGACCCCCGAACCTCCTCTTTTTCCCCCATTGGCGTTCCTGGCTCCTTGTGTGGGATTGCTCCTGAGCCTTGCTGTCTGCGTCTATAGACACAGACAGCTGGAGTAGGCCCCATACCCTACTCCTTCACAACTAACTTTGATTGATGCTGCTTCGCTGAAGTCTGTTAGACCGGGAAGTGAAGAGAGAGAAGAGCTGCAGACAAGCAGGGTGTGGGGGATACTGATGCCCAAACATGTTTTACCTTATTGCAAGTAATGCTGACTTTTTTTTTTTTTTTCAGGTGGAACTCCGCATTGAGCCACATTAAAATACCCTTTCTCAGCTGAGTGGTATTATTATTTTTTTTTTTTTTTGCATTGGTGACTGTCCTGTGTGGCAATGCCCAGCTATCTTTTTTTTAATACAAAAGTGTGCATAATTGGCCTTGAAAATGGTCAGAAAAGAATAACAGGATTCTTCTTCCATAGACGTCAATTGAGTTAAGAGCTATGTTTGGGTTTAGGGTTATGTTTGGGTTTTTAAAGTTCATTGAACCTCCTGCTGACCAAACTTTGCCCAGTTCGCTCATCCTAAGCTTTAAACATAGTCAAGAACTGCAAATGCGCCAGGGTTTTCATGACTGCATCATCTCTGAGCCAGCATCCCAGTTCAGAAAGTAGATGGTGACCTTAGATGATTTCCAAACACAAATGGCTCCATCTGTGTCTGTAGAGAAAAGCAGAAGAAGCCATTGTCAGGGAGAGTATTCTGATCTATGTTAGAGGTAGTAAGTACTTAGAAGTGTTACACCCAGTACATACCATCCGTGCATTTAGCATGGAAAAATATATGTGATGATTGCTCTGCTTTAATTATTTTCTGTTCTGCCTATGAATTATTACATTTGGCAGAACAGTGGAATTGTGCTTTATTTATAACTTCTGGTTTGATACTGACCCTACGTGTGACACATTGACTATCATCTAGCTAATATCACACCAAGCAGGATATGAACATTTTTTAAAAATACTTTTTTCATACTTTTTTTTTATTTATACTTTTTCATACCCCCACAAGAAAAAAAAATAAAAATTTTACTTTCATATTAATTACACAATCCTCACATCCTGACTTCATTAAATATTTATTTGCATTACATCTCTTTTATTTATCACCTGAAATAACTTTTCCAGTTATAAAAAGTTGGTCACATTTACTGCATTGTTAGTTACTGTATAATTTATATGTGGATGTTATATAAACCTACCTTCTTAAACAGACATCTGGAAGCGTACATGCCCTCAACCACCCAATGTTTTCTTACAGTATTTTGTCTGTTATAAGCTATTGTAACAGGATTTGCATGATTACTTTTTCTTTCAGGTATCCTGTCAAAATTTATAAGCATTTGTAGTACAAGTATGTGGAATATTTTTTTCTTTTTTTTTTTTTAATCTTTTGCAAGATATGTCAACTTCAGCCCGCTGGTGCCCACAGGGATTTTGGTTTCTGCTTCGAACATCACATACCAGTTACTTCTGCTTTTATCAACCCCCCAAAGCAAAGTGTATAACATTTGTTTAATTTAACCCTGCAGTAGTCAGTGAATCTAGCAGGCGCTCATTAGAAGCTGGTACCAGATAATGAACTTAAGCCGAGAAAATCAGGAGGTCTGTCATTTACACATAAAGAGTCAGCAATACTTTAATGCTATTATCATAAAGGAATTACTGAACTATATGTTTGTTTTAATATAACTGAAATTAGTAATAAAAATACTATTTATGATAGTCCTGATTAGTAATATTAACCAATACAAGAAAATAGCAAATTCAAACAACATGATGTAACGCCATCACGTAGCTTAGTTATGTTCAACCACCCGACAGTATTGCTGAACTACTCTCAAAATATCCGTACTCCTGACATGTTTGGAAAGGAGCATGTCCACCTTCATCCTACATGACAGAGCAACATATCGCCTGGCTCAATCACAGTTTGTGTGTGAGGACAGAGCCTAAGCCTGTGCCCATAGGGACTTTTAAAAAGTTTACTTTTGCATTGGAACTTCATTCCAGTGGGACTGTTGTAATGTAAATTGGTTGTTATGTTATAGATCTGCCACTTTATGATTCCTACCACCTTTCCCGATACTGGTATAGTTTCCTTCTAAATAATGCATATCACACAAGAGATGATCCCGTCAATGAGTTCATACTTGTAATTCTGTCAAATTAAAGCATCTATTTCAAAATATGCGTGACGGGGTCAGAGTGTTTCCATTGAATTCCAGAGTGAAATGATGCAATAATTAGTAGCTCAGTTTGACATTTAAGGGGTCATTTTCAATTAAAAAAGCACTTATAGTATATGTTCTCATCTGACTTCATCCTAAGTCATGCCATGAGCACAAAATATGTCCCTGCAGCTTTTGTAGGCACGCTTTTCTTAGCATCCATGAAATGTCCATATGCTAATCTACTGTTTAACCAGAGCCATTTGCATCAAATATTTTTATGCAGAAAGTGCCTTTCATTTGTGATGTAGCTAAGAGTATGAGTATCTCTATACACCCACAGTATATATATATATATATATATATATATTGTATATACACACACTCACCAGCCACTTTATTATGTACACTTTGCTAGTGCCAAGAAAATATCCCCCACATCATTACACCACCAGCCTGGACTGTTGATACAAGGCAGGATGAAGCCATACTTTCATGTTGTTAATGCCCTACCAGGGGCGGACAGACCATTTGGAAACTCGGGCACTGCCCAAGGGCCCAGGGTCAGTAGGGGGCCCCATGAGATGCCCCTGGTACCTTTTTCATAGGCTTTTTTAATTTTGGGCAAGGACACAGGGGCCCCATGATCCCCTATTGCCCGGGGGCCCCATGAGTTGTCAGTCCGCCCCTGTGCCCTACCATTGGAATGTCGCAGCAACCAGTCTGCCCATTCTCCTTTGACATCAATAAGGCATTTTTGTCCACACAACTGCCTCTCACTGGATATTTTCTCTTTTACGGACCATTCTCTGTAAACCCTACAGATGGTTGTGGGTGCAATTGAACAGGTGAACTTAATAAAGTGGCCGGTGAGTATGGATATATATATATATATATATATATATATATTTTTTATGTATGATTTTACTTCTTTATGACCAAAAGATATTGAAGCCTAGATGCCCAGTTCAAAAGTTTAAAATTAGCAGCGCCACTATGAATTGATAGATTTGACTGTAGCTTTACGAGGTCTGTTTATGTTAAAAATATATTCCTAATGTTTTTAATATCTACAAAACTACAGCAAATTTAAAGGATAAGTTCACCTTTTAGAAAAAAATAATAGACGCACATTTTTTTGCAGGTACAAAATGTGCATTTAATATTTTTGTCCAAAGGAGCCTGGAAAGCATTGCACCAGCGATCAGTAGATCACTGGTGCCATCCAGGTCTCCTGCAGACCTGTCAGAATATCTGCTTGCCATACGGGATGTGTGGTCAAGCAGATATTCTAACAGGAAGAATGAATGAACTACCACAGTGCATCACAGTGCCGTGGTAGTTCATTGCTGTCAGGACAGATGAATGAGTAACGCGGCTCTGTGGGCTGAGCCCCGCACGGCCACGTTTTTTTTTTTTTTTTTTACAAATTTGACAGCTAGTGAGGGGGGAGAAGATCTCCGCTAGCTGTCAAAGCAGGGATTGGGGGTGGGGGGAGGGGAGCAGGGGCCAGTCTAAATGTAACATGTTACATCCCATGTTAAGGGCCTAATATAGTTTGGGAGAGATGGCTCATGCCAGGAAGACTGCATGCTTAAATGAGGGTCTGGTATAAATTTGCTTTTGTTTTGTTTACTGTGGTAAAAGGTAGCACTGAAATTAAAATAAAACAAAAATAAAATTCATACCAGACCCCTATCCAGAAGTGTGTATTGAGGTGTGTGTGTGTGTGTGGATGGGGGGTGCTAAACTTGCTGCCCTTACCCTCTTTTTTGGCCACCCAGGCTGCATGTCTGGAGAGGGGTATGGTATGGATTTTGAAACATGAAAACTGCATCTGCTCACCTCTCCTGAAAGCTTGTTTGTCTGTCATACTGATGCTTGATCTATTACAGTGATAGGAAATGTTTCTTTGTTTGGCTTAGTCTGAGTAATACCAGCCCACATATTCTCTCTCTGCATATGCCTCATGAAGAAGATGTAAATTGTTTGATGTCCATAGTCTGAGGACAGTTGGACTTTAAACTAGAATGGTTTAAAGGATAAGTATGAGGTACGTACAGACAGATTTCCTGATCACTGGTACAATGCTTTCTCGGCTCCAAGTAAAAAAAATTAATAAATGCACATTTTGTTACAAAAAGATGTGCATTTATTATTTTTGTAGAAAGGTGAACTCATTCTTTAACATGGACTGATCATTACTAAATACGATAGGCACAACATAACTGCCTTTTCCTTCTGATCTTCTACCTGATTTGGCATAACTCTGGCATTAACGTCTACCCACTTCATATACTGCAAGTGATATTCACTTGGACCATGAGTGGCCACTCTTTTTACTGTAGCATATGATGTATGCTAGCAATAATCTTGTATTTCATATTAGAAATAATTTGAAGCAAAGTGGTAGCTATTATATCTGACTTGTCTTTAATAGGCAAGGCAACCCGTTTGGCAAAGAAAGTTTGGAACTGTTATCATTTATGGATAATGCTTTTAGCATCAATGAGGTATGTAATGCATTTTTAGGAGGTGGGTTAGGTACTAGGTTTACACTTGAATGGATTAATGGCTAGGATAAAGTGTATCTAATGCCAAGAACAAAAATGTACAGTATTATATTGCAGCTTGCCAGTCTTTTTTTACTTTATCTTTACCTGGTGTTCCTGATTGTAGTGGTCTTATGCAGTGTCTGCACCCTAACACAACAATTGTAAGGACTGCAGAACAACTCCTCCTCTCCTCATTTCTATAACATAGGGGAAATATTCTGTATTCCACAGGGAGAACTAATCTAGGACCGATAACATTGTATGAGATTTCAGCTAAGCATTGTCATCTCACCACAGAAAGTTAGGAGCTCTAGCTGGAATAATGATTTTTTTTTTCTTTCTATTTATCAAACAGACCAAATAGTACAGGCACTTTAACCTCCTTAGCATTTTTTAGCTCGGGGTATATTTCAGTACCAACAGCGGTACCCCGAAAAAGGAGAACTTACCTTACCCTAGATGTGTCCCCTGAATCTCCTCCGGCCGATTATTGTTGGACGTTTACAGGCACCGCCGCCCAGCCGGCGGCGGGAAATTTAAAAATTTTAAAAAATGTCATTTTTTTTTTTTTTCATTTTACACAGTAAAACATTGCTGTTTCAACCTATTTCACATACTATTGTCCCTACTTTGTCCTGCACCCTGCAGTCAAACTGAGAAATGTCCATGGCGTCCAAAAAGCGTCCCTTTAGGTCATTTTACAGCTAAGAACAGCGATAGTAAATCTAACCACTTACTAATTGAGTGATAATGATTCGTGGGGGAAATTCGTGTAACTTCGATTTTGCGACTGAGCTCAGCAATGTGCGAACTTGGCGCTCTATTTCACATTTCAGTGTTTTTGGTTTGATTATATTATGAATTAAATTTTTTTATTATTTTTATATTATTTTTATGTTATTTATTATATTATAATTTATGATGTGTTTCAAATTTTATCATACCCGGGATGTTTACTAGACTCTTGTTCGACAGATTTCAGTGAGTACAGTCAATAAAAAAAAATACATATTTCCATGCAAAAAAAATGGTACCGCTTTCAGCACCAAAATCTGATAGCGGGAGGTTAAGGGTGGTCATACACTATACAAGAGCTGAAGCTTTTGAGTAGCTAAAGGAGAAGGTACTGACTAAGTTTTGAAAGTTTATTTTCAGCCTTAAATTAAGGTTTAAGGGTAGAGTGAAAATAAAGGACAAGTGTTGTGGTCAAGTTAAAATGTGTGTAATGGCAACATTGCCAGAGCTTCGGGTAGATATGGGTTAGAAAGTGTTGTGTGTGTTCTGCTGTTTGTATCTGGTTGGGGAGAATTCCCCTCTCTTCCTTGCTTGAAACAAAACAGGGAATGAGAAGAAATCTCCACAAACTGAGGGTAAAAATACTTTTAGACACTTGGACTTGAACAGGTGTCTCCCAAATGAAAGATTCATCCCTAGGGATGAGTTTCTGGTTTAAGTCGAACATTGTTTTGCAACAAATCCAACCTATTTGTGGTTTGAGGACATTAAATTAATGCAGCAATTTGCGGCCATAGCAACCAACTACTAATACTTAAATTCCTTGCCTGTGAACCTAAGTCAGATAGTTTAGAATGGGCAGTAATGAGGGCTTTTTACTGTGCCAGCATCTCGCTATTAAAAGACAGGATTCTCAGTAGCCATAATGAAAATGTGCATAAAGAAATCATAGGCAGTGATACTGACAGGAACAGTTTTAGTGTGGAACTTATAAATAGGCATTGGTGAGTTAAAGGAATTGTAAACTTGTACAGAATATCCTTTAGAGAGGCAAACACTGTGTATCTTGGGGAATTTGGGGGTGGGGGAGGAAGGGATTTCTACATCTTAATGCTAAGTGCTGATGTGCATCCTCCAGCTTCTTTACAGCCTCTCCACATGTGCTGTTTGTAGCCATACCTGGCTGCATGTGAGTTTTTCAAAGGGTATATTTTCTATTTTTGATGGCTGCAATATTTTTCACAGCCTGTCCCTCAGTTCACATTACGGCAATGCGGTTGCATGTGTACTTTCACAGGACATTTTGTTAATTGTTGCTGGCTGCAACAATTTTTTGTTAACACATTGTAATATTCCTGAGCAGTGAGCTTCAGCACAGAGGCCTATGTTTTTCTTTGAGGCATGTGACAGGGTTACTAGCAACAAGAGATTGTGGGAGACAGGGTCAGATCATTGTCATCCCATAACACAAAGGGGGTTATTTACTAAAATTGGGGATTGCAAAATCTGGTGCAGTTCTGCATAGAAACCAATCAGCTTCTAGGTTTTATTGCCAAAGCTTTTTTGAACAAGCTGAAGTTAGAAGCTGATTGACTACTATGCACAGCTGCACCAGATTCTGAGTGCTCCCCCAAAGTATCCAAATAAGGACCTTTATATTTGTATCGCCAGCTGTTAAAGTTATTATGAGATTTAAGTAGTTGGGTTTACATCTATTTTAACAAACTGCACTTGAGTTCTTTAAACTGTAGTGATGGGGTACATTTCTCTCATGTGTCCTGCATGGGTGCAGAGATCTAAAAACCCAAACATCATTTTATCTGTCCACGACAACTGATTCTATTAATAAGGAGAAGGAAATGCCCCAAATTAAATGACTGCTATGCACCCTTGAGGAGGAGGCAGAGATTTCTCCTAAATTATACTGGAGGTAATGCAGTGCAAAGAACTTGGCCAAATACAAAAATGAGTGCCCTTGAGGAGGAGGAGGAAAAGGGATGCATTAATAGCTCTCTAAAGGAAAATGGTTGCTAATGAGCCGCTGAGGAGGAGGAGTGAACGCATTTTGCTTCTCACTTGTCTCATTGAGATGATGCTCCCACCAAACTCTTTGGTACACAGTCATGTGTTTTCTCATGCATTTTGTACCCAAGCCCCTGTTACTTTTACCACAGATAATATGCTGCTTAGGTCCCCATGCCCATTGTCTTGAAAATCTCTTGCCTATTAGCCTTGAAAATGGCCATGGACATCAATGAGAATCAAACACCTTGCATTGTTTCTGTTACATTCCTTATTTTTTGTTGAGGAGTACATTACTTTTATTTCTGCATATGAAGATTTGGTGTATTAGTCTCACACAAGATAGTGGAGAAAGTTATACACTGTAATAATGAACTGCTGGAAATAGCCATTCCCTCACTGGAACTACAAGAACCACTAGCTTCACATTAATTAAAACCACGATGCATCGTAAGGTATCCGTTCTGGTATTTGACGCAAGTAAAAAGTTTTTGATTTCAAGTTTTTACCCTTTCTGATCTGTAGTCAGCATTCCTAAAGGCACCTCCCCCCCCCCTTTTTTTTTTTCTCTATACAATTTTTTCAATTTGTGAGGATCGAATAAAAGCAGCCTTGGGGGAGCACTGTACATTTACAGTGGTGGACATTTGTTCTCCAATTAAGAATGCATTTGTGGAAATTGTTCTAATTCTCTAAGATGGAATAAGAAAACACTGGGGAGCCTGCTTATAGGGACAGTGGCAGCTGGCAGTTTCATTGTCCCCACATATGTCAGCTGTTACACCTGTGGGGAACATGTGATCTGTGGGCTGACCTTAACCAGTTTGTTGTCCTCAAATAATTTTCTGGAAGAGGTTTAAGCCCCTTTTCAGCTGACGTCAACATATCAGCTGCCCTCAAGGAAACCTTCTGGAAGGGGTTTGAGGCCCCCATATAAGGCCAGGTTTTTAGGCACAGGGTCACCAGTTTTCAATGCCTCTGTTCGTGAGCTCTCCACCCTCTTGTCCTTGTCATGGTCTGTGTTACATGGTTTGTCGCCTTTCTTGGTAAAGGGGGGACAGTTTATTAAAAGTCAGTCATTCTGTTTCCAGTCTGAGTTGTAGCGACTGAGCTGGGGTATGGTATTTGAATTTCATGAAGAGCAATTGTTTAAAACAAAATTAATTTTTAACCAATAATAGGCTGTCTCCAATTTATAACCATTTTTTGTGTCTGTGCCTTTTATTTCTTTTTTATGCTGCTTTTAGTCCCATTCACTTTGCAGATACTTTTTTATTATAAACTGTTGCATCTGCATGGCAGGAATTGAACTGAAGTCTCCCCAGTGGGACAAAGATTAGAATTGCGTAAGCCTAGGTGTATGTAGCATCCCTTTTTTTTTTTACACTGAAACCCCAAGTCAAACACCACCATGTTCTCAATGCCAAACAATAACTTTTCTACACGCTAACTTTGTTGTATTTGTTGGAGAAGCTTTTCTGCGACAACTGGAAAAATATTTCCCTACACATTACATATTTCAGGTATATGGGCTGCACAGTGATTAAGTAGGTAATATTCATTTGCTGGGGTCAAGAGCATCATTCTTTCCAAGGAAACTGGAGATTGTAAAATATCCCACATAAACAAAAAACAAAAAAGCATATTGGTAATTTGACTAGCTTTTGAATAAACCGAGCATCAGTGAAGCAAGCGCCTCTGGATCAGGGACTGCAATGCATATAGGAATATGTCAGAGTTGTGTAAATATGGAAAGTGAATAACTTACATTTTGGTAAACTATTGGAAAGTGTAAAAATGTGATTTAATCAGCTATTTTATGTGAAATACCTTAAGGTCTATTTTTATTTAAAAAATAAAAAATGACAGCGTCTTCATGGAGCTATTATTTAAAACTGAAGCATGGGTCACAAATCATCTTCACTTCATTTAGATCCTACAGAGAAAAGGTTGTAAACACTTGCCATGTCATTTCCTTTTGACAATCTTCATTCTCCTAACGTTGTTATTGATCTCGGTAAAGGACTCTTTTCAATAATAACCTAGATAAGGCATCTATCAATATACAAGTGACTTGTTATAGTTAATTCAATTAAATATTTTTCACACTTTCCTTCACCACTGATTACACATAAATAAGTCATGCACAAAGATCAGGGTTCAAGATTACTTCTGAAAAGTTTCATACTGTAATCAGTTGTATCAAACTTGAATGGGTTCTCATATGGATATAACTATTATTAGAAACTTAAGATACAGAAAAGTCAAATGATCTGCTTTGTTTGATAGAGTAAACCTGCAATGGGCAACTGTTCCACTTTAGTTTAATGTAAATCAACAGATGCAGTATAATGCCATGAATATATAGGACATACACTGCAAATTAGCATAAACATACAATTGTGATTTCTTTTGTGTGTCTTTTTTTAGCTGTCCTTTTTATGAAATAAATAGAAATAAGGTAAAGCTCGCAGCAAGCAAGCATATGTTTTCTCATTCTGGGGAGGCTCACTGTTGGATATGTTGCGTGAAGAGAATGCCACATGATGACACACATTATTTATTAAAATGCGTATTGAAATACTTCATTCAGACAATGGCTACAGCTAAAAGTGATAAACTTGAACAAATGATGCAAAAATCGACATGGTGAATTTACTTTCATAATTTAACTTAACAGAAATCCATTTTCTTCACCTGCAAACAGTAAGTACACCATTACTTTTACCAATGCTTCATATTCACTTAAACCTCCAAACTTTCTAAGACCCAAAGAAAGAAAGACAGTGGATGCCTATGAGTCTTGCAATGGACTTAAAAAATGGCAAATTTTACAAGTGACATAGATTTCAAATGACCTCTAATTTCCCAGAACTGTCAGGCCCAGGAAATTCAGCTCAATAGCTGAGCATTTGATGCTAAAAAAAGTCTCCCAAAAAACCCAAAATTTAGTTGTGGCATCTGTAAGTAAGCCTTGCAACATTTGGTGTCAAAGCACATGCATCTAAAGTCATAAATGGATTGCACCAATTTAAATTGCATGACAGATGTGCCAAGAAAAAGCTTTTATTGTCCAAAAAGAACATTGGTACAAGACAAAAGCCTGCCATTGGAAGACTAGGCAAAGGCCAGGCCTTCTGGAACAATGTGCTATGTACTGATAAATCAAAAACAGAGTTCTTTGGCAGAGTAACAACAGAATTTTTGGGCAAAATTGAAGATAGCATTTCAGGGGAAGAACTTAATTCTACAAGGGTTATCAACTGGCCTAATCAAAGCCTCACTTTTAGTCCCTCTGAAATGTTGTGGACGAATATGAAAAAGGCAGCTCAGGCAAAGAAACACACAAACATCTTGCAACTCAAGGGATTTTGCATAGAGGAGTGGTCAAAAACATCACCGAGTAGATGACAGAGGCTGCCTGGGCAGTCATGCAATTCATCTACAAGAAAGGGTATACTTACTTTTTCCTTGTACACTATTACATCTATTGTTATTTGTGTTGAATAAATGATTAAAAAGAGAAATATTCTCAGTGAAGTACTGTATATAACTGTTATCTGGGGACACTGTTTGAATTATGATCTAATGGTTTCTCATTGCCTGATAGAACATGCGGTTCCTTGGTAATCATCTAGTCCTCTGAATATAAAGTAGCTTGTAAGCAGGGACTTGCCTAGACGTCTTCCCACCATGTCTCCCCTTACTGGTCGTAGAGAGTATGCATGTCTCCTATCCCCATCCCACAGTGCAATGCCCATGTCTTGAGCGACCCATCAACAGGACTGAGTATTATTACACTTACACTAGCAACCCTGTTTAGGGTTCTGCACAGTGCTTAAGGGACATATACTGTATTAAAGTAGGTGACAGTTTTTGACTGGCTATATTGTCAACTTTCTGATCCTGCGTATATTTCAGTATGCCCCCCAACACCACAATGGCTTCACTAAATGTAGTACAAGGTGCAATATTTAATACCGAGGATTAGATATTTAAGTAAACAGTTATACGATATAATATAGTAAAGAATTAAGCTGCGACTTTGTAAGGTATTTCCAACAAAATGCTTTCTGTGCCTTTAAAACATGTAAAGAGTTTTTTCATATACCGGTAATTATATTATATGTATACGCACATATGTGATTTAATTACAAGAGACAGACTGAGTGTCATGGTTGTTCAAGTTTCCTCCAAATGAGGAAAACCCAAGGCTAAAAGCAGAGAGTTACATATTCCCAACCAAACAATGAAGTGGACTAACACACTAACAAGCTTCCACTTGACATACTAAGGTAACAAGCAGGCAAACAAGGAGTATCATCCTTCTGGATGAAAAGATACCCTGGAGACTTGCCATTTCCAGCTTGAAAACTCACAGAACTTTTAGGATTCTCTGGCTGCATATAAAGTAACTTTTTTTACTTAATAGAATATATGCTTTATTGTAGCATATTACAATTATTTAAACTGAGAATGTATTTTCCAGTGATCCTACATCCTATCAGAAGGTGATTTATGTTGTTCTATATCATTGTGAGCTCGAACAAAATTACATTTAAATTGGCTGTAAAGGCTAAATTTCTTTACCTTAATGCATTCTCTGCATTAAAGTAACCCCCCCCCCCCCCACCTCTCTAAATACTCACTTGAGCCTGATCTCAGTCCAGCATTGTGCCCAAAAGCAGAGGTGCTGGATTCAATGAGAGCAGTGGGAGCCATTGGCTCCTGCTGCTGTCAATTAATTACAGTGACAAAAGAGTACGGGTGAAGCTGAGCAGCACTGTGTGTGTCCATAGATGCACAGAGTGTGGCTCGGGAGTGAGCCTGCACGAGTACCCCTCCAGGAAGCAGCTTGCTATGGAGTACTCAAAGGCAGGAGGAGCCAGGAGCACCAGCGGGGGACCTCAGAAGAGGAGGAATTGGGGCTGCTCTGTGCAAAACCATTGTGCAAAACCAAGGTTGAAACAGTAATGAAAACAGGGTATGAGAGCTGCACAAACATGGACGCTTCTATGGAACGTCTCTGTGGAATAATCAGGGTAATGTGTAGGTTCAATAGAATAGTCCCTAAGAAGTTAAAGAGGCGTGCACCTTAGTTTGGTGAGTAAATAGGAATTGTACACTACACTAGCACATGCTGACAGAGGTCACCAGGACATAAACAAAATGTAAATCTTAAAGAATTTTTATCTTAAAGTTCTTACTCTACAAAATGCATACTCAATAAATAAAGACATTTATAACCAATAAAATTGCAACAAAAACAGTCCATGAAAAACGTAAATAATCCAAATTTGTGCTGAAAATGAGTAATTCTATAAAGTGCCAATGCTTAAGAAAAAGTGTCAGTGCTTCAAAAGATCCTTTTTTTCTATAACAAGGTGTTATGCTCATCACCACCAGCCTTCACTTTGTACAAAATACTACCCTTGCCCAGCTGGGACCATACTCACCATATGGAGATGACCACCTTAGCTTATACCAGGTAGGTCTATAAAGCTTACTCCACAGCTCTGCTGTACATGACACTTTTCCTCTAGTTGCATCCTTTGTGTCAAGGATCCACAATGCACTCATGTGCAGGGAAAGATTCAAACAGAGGGGCAACTCATAATCCCAGCTGTGAACTATTTGGTATATTTAATATGGATCGAGTGGTGTAGGCCACGCCTCCTGAAGATGTCCTTGGTGTGACAAAAAATTAACGCAAAGGCTGTAACTAGAGGAATATTGCCATGCACAGCAGAGCTGTGGAAAAAGCTTTGCAGACATACCTGATATAAGCAAGGGTAGTCATCTCCATGTGGTGAGTGTGGTCCCATCGGGGCAAGGGCTCTGTTTTGTACACAGTGGAAGGCTGGTGGTAATGAGTGTGACGTGAAATGAAAACGAGAAGTGCACCAACCTTGCGCATTACCTCAGTAACCAAAATTTATTAATTGTAAAAAATATACTCACAAACAGCGAATGAAATCAGGCATGTAAGTCCTCAAAGGGACTTGAAGATAGCGCAAATCCCATCAAGGGGATGGGTATTCAGTAAAGCTGACGTGTTTCAAAGGGTGTCCCTTCTTCATCAGCGCTTCTCGTTTTCATTTCATTCTGCAGTATTGGTCGGGCTTCCCCAGCCTTGTTTTGGAGCCGCACAGCCCTTTATGCATTGGTGGACGATTTCTCCAGGTCTGGTTCCATCCATTCGCCACCTGTCTGGGTCCTAGAGCGCAGGAGAATTCCTCTTTGATTTACGGTAATGAGTGTGACACCTTGTTATAGAAGAAAGAATCTTTTAAAGCACTGACACTTTTTCTTCAGAACTGGAACTTTGAAA